ATCCACTCCCCCATACGCTTTCATGGCGTAGTGAAGCACAGGAACAACTTTACCTTACAAGTTTTTTTTTTTTAAGATAATTGATGTTAGCTTATCGTTAATAATTCCTTCTGTCGAATGAGTCTGTTATGTTTATACCGTGTATTTTTACTAGAATATTGGTCTTCACAGCGTTTGTTCGGAGAATTGGTCGCTTGGAGAAAAGACGCTCCAGATGGGCACATAAATGCCTGTTGGTCTAATTATTTTTGTCCAGTTTCATAACCAAATTTGAATTTTTCGGCCAATTTTAGCCGAAGACCAAAATATGAAGTTTGATGAAAATGAAGAAAGCAGTCTTCTGGGATTTGGCGCCGTGTATATGTGGTGTTAGCCGACGTTTCGGAGGAACGTATCGCCCCCATCTTCAGGGTTGAAGAAAAAGTATAGGTAAATCTGCAAGCGACAACAGATTTACCTATACTTTTTCTTCAACCCTGAAGATGGGGGCGATACGTTCCTCCGAAACGTCGGTTAACACCACATATACACGGCGCCAAATCCCAGAAGACTGCTTTCTTCATAGTCACCGCCGTGAAAGCCTCAAATCTTACATTTGATGAAAATGTCTAAAAATAAAGCGTCCGTGCGCTTTAAACCATTTAAGCAAAAAATTAATCAATGTAATATTTAAATATTCACTTCATATCTCAGCGGAAATCATTTTCAGTGCTTCTCCACCACAGAGAGTAATCGATTAAGGAAGTTATGTTTGTTTGTATCTGAGAATAATTCCAAACACATAAATGCAATATATGAGCAAAATATAATGTCTTTTAATGTTTAAGCAGGTGGTACATATATTTACTACTGTGCTATAGAGGGATAAAAATATTCCACTCTTGAATGTTCTGTGTTTCAATTTTGTGTTACTGAAACAAACTGCTTTGGAATAATATTGTCATGATTTATGTATGTGACTATAGACGGGGTGTGGATTGACGAATGGATTTACTGATCACTACAAATAACTATAACACTATTGCTGATTCCCACACTACAAATCACTCCACGCTAAGTCTTCTCAGTCTGCTTTCACTAATCGCCGTTTGGTAACAGCTCTCAACAATGGCTATTCTTCTGCAGTGTTTTCACTAGACGTTTCCTCGTAACGAATCTTAATAATCGAGATCCTTCAACTTCCGTAGTCACAGTATTACTGTTCGGCGAATATCCCGCAACGGAACTGTAGTCAAAGTCAAAGTCACATTGCGACTGACTGTTAGTCAGTCAATCTGTCTTGATGTTGAGCCCCATCTGGGACTCATGACCAGATATTAGTTCCTGTTTGACCTGCCCATGAGGGGCGCCATCTCTGATGAGAGGACGGGTCTGTCGTTTTCCAGAGTCACAGTCAGCAGTAATAAGTCAATTGTCAGTATGTACAATATATTTAAAATGTACATGTTATTAGAAGTATATATATATATATATATGCAAGGCCTCTGTCAGTCCAATCTATGTACAGCAGATCATCCCCTATCTTCAGTAGCTCCCGCTACGACGGCAGTCTAGTCACTTTAACGGTCGTGTGCTTGACCGCCGCCCAGTTGAAGCCCTTTATATTTCCTGTGTCGGGCTTAGCCTTGTTCATTGTTGTGAACATTTTCATTTTCGTGGTTTTGTATGACTTCTAATTTTTGCCTGCATAATTTTGTTACATAATAATATAATTACGGAAGTTTGAAAGCCATGTGCAAGTCGCGAACCAGCACGGACCACGCAGAAAATCTATATCTATTTTTGTAGACCACATAGAAAGCACCGTTCTTCTATTGTCACGTGTATATTGCGGGCGTTACCTAGCAACGGCCGCTGTTTACCGAATTACTGTTTATCAACGGGTCTATACGCGACAATATTATGTCCAGTTAACAGAACCATTTCTTTAGATAAGACATGTGGAAGTCAAGTTTGGTCATCAGAAATATATTGTGCAGGAAAAGATGTGCTAACACCACGAAAGCCCATTCACACAGTCATCGATACAACCCCAGCACGCCAGGTCACTCGCGTGCAAGCACGAATGCAGACATTCACACAGAGTAGGGCCTAATGGAGCACGCTGATGCTGTTGGAAGTATTCTGATTTCATATTTTAATGATATTCAGTTCGAATCTCAGCCAAACTAGCTTCGCCTCACTTGTTCATTCCAAGTATATTTGTTAACAGTGCCCTGACCCAGACAATGCTGCTTTTTCAGTCACTATTCTCGTGTTTTACTTCATTAGCCATCGGTCATTAAAATATATGACCCTTGCAATTGGTACGGCTCCATCAAGAAAAGCCTTCGAAATACAGTATGCATGAAACGCGAAATCTTTTCACAGTTTAATTCCTCGTAGTTAATATTTCCCAAAATTTGTTGACAATTTTTCTTAGTCGGATGAGAAGGGGGTTTCTTAAATTATGTTTATTTTTTTGTTTATTTCTGTTTGAATGGTTGCTCGGACCTTCCTGAAGAATATAAATTTCCTCATTAATATAAGATAAAAGTTATTTTCTTGCAGATGGCTTTCTTTTCTGACAACTGTGATAATAACGCCCCCTTTGACTACAGAGAACTACTTGTTTACCTAATATTGCTAGTGGGGTGGGACTAAGTCCCATGTACTGCAGCCACTTCTGACCTATTTTACCAGCCCAAGATGATAGGTGAGGGTGATTGTGGAGCAATTGGCGGAATGAAGATTGGCAGGGGAAACCGAAGAACTCGGAGAAAACCTGCCCCAGCGCCACTTTGTCGACCACAAATCCCACTTGACCAGACCCGGGATTGAACCCGGGACGCCGCGGTGGGAAGCCAGCGACTAACCGCTTGAGCTATGGCGCGGCCCTCCTGTTTACCTAAATGACAGACATAACACTACAGTGAAGAGATTTCTGCTATGAACGGTTTACTGAATAGCTCGGTGAAGACTTACGTGTTCATTGTGCAGCGGCTTCGGCTAATTCAGTTAAGGTAATGGTCGGTCCCGTGTCCTGCCCCACTTAACTGCCGCAGAACACGTGAACTCAATTTATTCTTCGGCCCGAGTATCAAGTCTAGAGTGTAAACCATCTTGAGTTTGGTGCCAAATTGTTATAATACTCGTACTGAGCTTACCGCACGAATCCACATGGCCCAAATTACTGTCTCCATCAAATTGTGAAGACATTCCATGATGCTTTCGTGGACATTTGATTCGTAAAACTTCGCTATTACGTAGCTTACTTAACAAACGAATATAACTATTTCGTCAACATCACTGATGAATTTGAAGGAACGAAACTGTTCTCGTCATGATGTGAAATTCGCCGTCATAAATAGTCTTATATTGAAAGCTCCTATCATTTTGTAAACTTTTTTTAGAGAGAAGTGTCCAAGTGATGATTATGAATTGCATATAAATGCGCGCTGAGCAACTAGCAGTGCAATTCCGATTCTCTTTTGGCCGTTAGAGAGGAATTCTCTGAAAGCTCAGTTCCGTCATTCTAAATAATGTTCGCATTTTCTTTACCACGCTTCAGCCTCGTGAAGCTTGGCTCTTACATTCTGCAATGGCCGTCATCTTCTTCCTCAAATGAAAAAGCTAATTGAAATCAAAGAAGCTTGAATATCAGAAAACTTCTCGAACACTATGCCGACCATTATACTCTGATATCCACACTGGAAAATTTCCATTTAGGTTTTGAATTTTTCAAAGAGTTCAACTTAACTGGTTCCATGTTCCGAAAATTTTCCCTACTGAATTCCCGAGTCGCAATTGTGCACATCGAGATTTTCCTGAAAAGTGAGTATATTTTACACAGGACGTATTTTGTCAAATAAGCAAGCATATTTTATACGCTACTTCTAGGACCCAGACAACAGCCTACGTTCGTTCACTACCGCGCCCACTGAAAATTTTTATCTGACGTGTATGAAAATGTTTGAGAGCCTACACATTCCTGCGTACTACACACACACACACACACACACACAGTGAATTTTATTGAAATACTGAGGTACTTGATAAATGGTGGCCTTATATGATCCGTAAGCAAAGTGAGCCTTTGTTGCGTTGTGTCTTTAACACTTCCAGTTCTGTCTGCTTCAAATTGTGTGCATTGTATTTACTTTGAATGTTGCGGCCTCCGTAGTCTAGAGGTAACGTTCCCATCTCATGACCCGTGGTACGCGGGTTCAAATACCCGGCGGAGGTCGTCGAATTTTTAGGGGCGGAAAAATTCAGGGAACAAGTCCTCCGGAAGGGACTTTAAGCCGTGTGTCCCGTGTCGTAACCTTACGGCACGTAAAAGAACCTCATATCTCCAAAGGAGATCACTGAGCCAAATTCCAGGACGTTTCCCGCCCAACAGTAGTCTCTAAGGCCTCTGATAGATGGGGGAAGCATTATAGACACCGCTAAGCAAGTGGCCGAACTCGCTTGCTCGGCGGGACTGATGGTACGCAACATTTATCGGTAGGGTATAGAGACTGGTAGAATATCATAGAGGGAAGCACAATGGACCAATACTGGTCTAAGTGCATGGGGAAACCCACCCTCTCCAATAACTAACTAACTAACTACTTTGAATGTTACACGTATGTCTAGCTGAAATATGTTCCGATATTGAATCAACTATGAAAATGAGATAAAAGTGACGTCTGATGCATCACAGCTGTTGCATATGCAACGTAAACATGGGAGCACTTTCTTTATCGATGGGCTTCGAAAATCACGAGAAACTATCCAAATTATAACCATGATTACCATTAAAATTAATCCATCATTATTCTAGTTAAAGGAAATTAAGGAATTTCTGATGTATTGGAGCAGGATTAATAAGTAATATTTTCATTTTAATCACAGTTATAACTGAAATCTACTGTTAATTTGAAATATAAATTGCAGGCAGGTGTTGTGTTTGGTACTAAACCACAGAGACGAACAGTAACAATGTTACGAAACTAAATTATATAGCTTTAGCGACTTACTGTAACCGATTGTCAGACGAAGTGGACCCTCGGTGATATCTCTTGTTCACATCCAAAGGTTTCGTGTTTGAATCCGAGGCGCCGATTGTCCTGTTATAACTTCTCTTGGTTCCTCTAAGCATATTATGTGGTATGCCTGTCGCTTATTTTTATGTCCCTCCCAATCATGATTCGGAATTAGTCACACATCTCACGTTTTATGTTACATAACCTCACTAGTAGGTACGTAATGCTGTGAAATGTTCCACAGAATTATCACACAGAGGTAGCCCTGGATAATAAAATGAAGGAAAATGTAGTCATTGTTCATAAGCCTTGCAGCAAGAAAGAAGTTCTTTGGACTGTAGTTTATACTGTATATAATTTAATGTGATACCATTTTGAAAGGGGGCACGCGGTAGCGTCGTTGATTGAAGCGCTATGCTACAAGCCAGAAAGTCGCGGGTTCGATTCCAGATGAGGTCTTTGGATTTCTCAATTAACCTAATCCTTCCAGCCGCACTATGGCCCTGGAGTCGACTCAGCCTCTAACATAAATGAGCACAAGTAATCTTCCTGGGGGCAATAGGGCGGCCGGCGCGTAAGGCTGATAACCTCACCGCCATCTATGAGTCGATTGTGTAGAAAGAAATTTGGAGGCTCGACGTCTTACAACCCTATGTACCTCCACGGTGTGCTACAGGGTGCTACCTTTTAGCTTTTACCACTTCCAATAATGATTGTAATGAAGAAGAAAGTATTGCTGAAACATATCTCATATTTCATTAAAAAGAAGCAGCATTTCATTTCAGCTATTCAGTAAACAACTTCAATGTTTTATATTCCCGTTTATGCGCTAAAAATAGTTCGCATGATTCATCCACAGCTTATGTGTAGTGTATTCGTATACGGACTACAGTTTTCTTTTCGTTTCTTGCTGGAACAGAATATTTTTGTGTATTTATGTAAATTTTAATTCTGACGAATTCCTGTCACTCCTTATATCTCCGCAATTCCTCACAATAGTCTTGAAGGAATCGCAGTTTGCTCCAGTCCTACATATTTAAACAGAGCTTCACTGGTCTGGGTGTCGGGAAGCACTCTTTCTTTCAGGCCTAGCGTCCGACTATCTTGACTGAAATGCGTCTTTGTTTATCTCAGTTCTCCTAGGAAATTCATGTATTAGAGCTTTAAAATGTTACACGACCGCCACCCTCTGCGTCCTTTGCAGTGTTCATAATTGTCCTGTAATTTCTCATCAACGATATATAAAGCAAACGATTGAAGCTGTGTCGTTAAGTAAACAAATAACCTATCAATATTCGAGTAGTTGCTGTAAACTATTTCACGATACAAAAACAACCGAATCTGTAACTCTTCCAAGGCATCGTCACACGTAATAATTATTTTTCAGCCAATATTTGATTTACTCAGTAACCTGTTTTTCACAAGAATGTAGCCTGGAATAATCGAAAGTAACATGGCGTGGATTTCCGGGCTATCCGCGCAATTAAACTCACCACACTTCGGGCTATCGCAAAGAGCGCCCACTGAATGTTACACTGAAGAACCCTCACCACACACCTTACGTGGAGCACCGCCTAACGCCTGTCTGTTGCTGGTTGCGTGACCACTGCAGTGCCATTCACGTGAAGGGGCGGAAGGCGCAGCAAAATTGACATCTGAGAGAAAATCGAATCCTTTTTTTGTAATTAAAAAACTATTTCTATTAGCTGTAAGCCGTTGCTATGAACTATAAAAATATGGATCAGCGATCGCTTGTTTCACCTGTTTCTACATTTGCAGAATGATTTTTTGTGTTTCGTCGCAGAAACCTTATATATTCATAAGTAACTTAAATCGAATAAATCGATATTGCATCTTCGATTTGACATAAGCCTGTCTCCAGATTCTTTTCCTTTCATCATTTGTTCTCTGATTTCCCGAATTTGATCAATCCATGGATATACCTCATAAAAGTCGAGCGGGGGAGAGTGGAGTAGACTGGTCTAGCAGTGACGCTATGTAACTTCATTTCAAAGATACTCGATCTGAACATTTACCGGCTTATCGGGTGTACTGATAAATTGTCGTTGGTTTCCTCCAGGCTCTCATAATACACTGAAATAGACCAAATATATTCTTCTAAATCCCCATTGTTCGACTTCTCTATCATATTTTTTCCATTTTATTTGACGCTGTATAGTTTTTGCCGTTAAAATAGCGTCGTTTAATAATGTGAAAATCCTATGTTCTTCTTGGAATACCTTTCAAACCTGGGATATTGTGGCAATGAGCAGAACGATGGGCACAGATGAGAAACGAGTGGAAACGTCATGCTTCAAGCGAGATTTGAACTCGCAATCACAATGTTTGTTCGACCTCAGGCTGTGCACCATCTTAGATATCGGCATTTTGATATATGCTATTGGTAAGGTCTTAGAATTCAATTTACTAGCATTACTGGTTAATTCACAACTGTGGAGAAAAGTACAAAATAAGAGCTTTCAATAATCTGCCCTCTTCCCTTCATGAAATTAGGACGATCAAATAGTTTTTTTTACCCCTTTGCACTACAGCCCCAGTGGGCCTAGGCCTACCTCCATAAACTTCTCCGTTCACTTCGGTTTTTCTAGATCTTAAACATACGGTAGGACTCCTTGGGCGGGTGATCAGCTCGTCGCAAGGCCTTTAACTGTACACAAACATAGAAAAACGCACGCACACAAACTAAACATTCATGCCCTGAGTGGGATTCGAACCCACGATCCCCGCTTCCAAGCGAGCGAAGATAGTACATGCCTGAGACCGCTCGGCTACCGTGACCGGCTGATCAAATAGTTTAGTTTTCTATTTCCCCCCCCGTTTATCCGTGAACCTCAATGTACGGCTTCTCTTTGTGGGGAACGAAGTTTTCATCGCCATGTCATCTCTTGCCATATTAGAAACTTTCGCGATGTTAAGAAGGAAATACTTCAGAACAAATCGTCCATCAGTAGAATGGCATGACATGAATTAATAAAAAACTTATTTCAGCATCCTGTTGCACGTGTTTAATTAAACGCCTATGTATTATGTCCGCCAATAATGCAACAATCATTAAAATATTCACCATTTAACACTAAAACCACATGTTTCGGTCACAGACGGCCATCCTCAGGTGTTTCAGTGCGTCCAAAGCGCGCATCAAAGCAGTGTAACAGATTTGACGCACTGAAACACCTGAGGATGGCCGTCTGTGGCCGAAACATGTTGTGTTAGTGTTAAAATGGTGAAAAATTTAACGTTTGNTTCAGTTCCGAGGATTTGTGAGTATATAGATTATGTTCGTAAGTCGTATTAATTGAAGAGTTGGGGCGTAAACAGTTGTGATATTTTGTTTAAAAAGATGAGTTGTTATTGTATGTGTAGTTTTGGGAGAGTGTCCGAAAACAATATTTTGGAAAACACCTTGATACGAGAAAATAAGATATAAAATTATTCATAATTGTATAATTTACATTTATATATTTTTGTCGATTCATACAGATCACGGTCTACATTATAAGCTTCCTATATTTTCCCATCACCCGACAAAGATTGGCGATCCCTGCTCATATTAAATCTGGCGACATATTGTATCTCGCTGTCTGGCAATATGTCTTGGGAGCCAAGTGAATAAAACACACCTGGCTAAACTGCTGTAACCATTTACTGAACTCGCCCTCCACGGAAGTGCAATGCACTGTGTGCATGCACTTTGTTATCTTGCTCGTTCTGACTGTCTTGGTTTATGTCAGTAATGCTGCTGAAAACCTAATAAATAAAACAGGCCCCATCGATGATTGTGCGGCAACATTTACAAGTCTAATATCTCAAAATGAAACCAACTGTCGATGGCATGAAAGCATACATGAATTATTTTAATAATAATAGCTAAACTAACTCCACTGAGCACAGTTATTGTCGAGAAGCTAGTAGTTGTTCAGCCTCGGCAGAATTTATTGATCCACTGAGCAACTATCAGTTTCCGAAAGAGGGCTGTGCTGCACTGAACACGTCTATATATAGACACATAAATAATAAATGTAATGGTACAACTTTTAGCATTCTTGCATTATACTCGGCATGTCTCTGGTTCGAATTTCGGTTACTTGAAATTTTCATCTTTTTCCTCAGTCTCTGATGAAGGTAAATACCATTATCTTGTAGTGTTGCATCCTGTTTGTGGTGTTTACAAATAAAAGGGGACAGGTTTTCCCATCACACAAACAAATTTAACTAACAAATATTCAGATTTATAATATAACTGTAACATTATATAGTTCCGTTATCATTTGTGTATTTTATCGTGTCACCTGATGAAGGCATATTTGGGCTGAACCATTTTGTGAGTGAAATAACAAAAACATCTGAGTGTGATGGGAAAACTCTCAATTTTTATTTGTAAATACCACGATACTTCCTCAAAACAAGTCGCATAATTTTCAAATCGTAATTCAGAATCGTCCTGTCATTCATAATTCGAGGAGGTAAAGCAGGAAGAACTCATATTGAGACGCGTTCAACACTCCTCCAAAATATTCAGTTATTACGTTTCACCTCTTATTGTGGCAATACACTGAACATAATTTCGACTGATTTTAATTAGCCTTGAAATATGTAGGCCTATGTCACATTCCAGATTACTTTCGTGAATTTGAGGAATTATATCTGATTTATTAAGTAACAAAAGTTCAGGGAAGAACAAGTTGCCTACTTTGCTTTGATATGACATGCACTGCATAGAAAATGACGCGTCCAACAATTCTTCTGTCGTTGCATGTGAATTAGTTTCCGCGGTAACGTTTTTACCAAGCCGTTGCTTAGCAACGATAGGAGAATATACATACAGACAGACTGATGGGAGGGAGTTATGAAGTACGCCGTTGAGATGGGCTCAGGTGACATGATGTACACTAAGTGCAATAAAGACTGATTGAGGCATTCTAAAGTTAGGAGGGGCGGGAGGGATTCACAGACACACGTACAGTAGGGTGATCGCATAAGCCTGCTTTTCTAAATGAGGAAAGTAGGCTGAAAATTGTGATAAGTTTACTAGATGTGTATAAAGGAATAAACAGCCCACTGACCCTAATTCTCAAGCAGACGACAAACCTAAAGGAACCTCTTGCGTCAGTTGGTCTGAGTGCAAAAGTATTGTGAGAAGCGAATTGTTGCTCAGCCTCACCGGTCCACATGTGCGGTCCCCTGACCTGAGGCCGGCCTCACCCCCGAGTAATCGCCAGTGCTACAGATAACAGAAACGCCAATATCTGGGCTGGCGGTACCGCGTGCGGCTTGAGTGACTGGCAATTACGAGGCTTGGCGCCGACAACCCCGCCACTCCAGCCCCGAGTGTTGTTTACAAACAACGTTACTCTACCTAGATCGTATCAGTAACGGCGTACTGAGAAGTACCGCGTAGGTTGTGTCAACGTTAACTTGCAATGAGGATCCAAGTACCCAGTTTGAGTTCCGATAGATGTTCTTCTGACTTGGGTTTTCCTCAGTTTCTCCACATAAATTCCCGAGTTATCCAGTCAAATAAATTACGAACACTGCCTGTCCAGTCCTCTCCAGTCACCGTTCTCATCTCAATCTCTGTAGCTGAGACAGAACCGATAAATATATTAAGCAACCAGTGATATTAATAAGTAAAGGTAAAAGAAAATGTAAAGCTATCCCTGTAACAGGAAGTGAAAGGTCCATAGGCTTGTGAGACGTCGAGGCTCCCACATTTTCTAGAAAATCAGCTCATAGATGCCGGTGAGGTTATCAGCCTTACGCTCCGGCCGCCCTTTACCCCCCAGGATGATTCCCGGTACTCATTTGTGTTAGAGGCTAAATCGACCCTAAGGCTATAATGCGGCTGGAAGGATTAGGTCAACTGAAAAAATCCGATAACCTAATCGGGAATCAAACCCTCGACCTTCCGGCTTGTAGCATAGTGCCTCAACCGATTATGTTACCGCGTGTCCCTAATGTAGATAAGTGGGTTTGATTTTTGTTGCAGAGCCTTTTTCTTAATTTCCTTTTGAATATTATTGATCGTTTTATCTACTGGCTGGTTAGACTCGAATAAATTCAACTGTTATGATCATATGCGGCTGTATGTTTATCACAAAATTGTTAAAGAAAAATTCGAAATAAATTTAAATTTAATTAGACTAAATATGGTAATGCCGTTTCCTTACACGTACTCTAAATTAACGTTGTCATTTGATTTTCTGAAATCGGATGCTGCCATTTGCGCGGCTTCAGTCACGTCTCGGTCCTCTGCAGATTCGCAGTGCTATTTCCTTGCCTACGGATGTATTGTTAAACGATGAGGTCGGCGTTAAGGCAGGAGAGGCACCTGCCTCGCAACATCATTTCGTTTAGATTCTAAAGGGTTCTAACGGTGGTGTATTCCTTGAACAATGGTAATTCAGCTGATATAGAATTTCTCTCTATTATATCACTCGAATATCTATAATCATGCCAGCAAAGTCCTGCATTGGACTTGGTCCTTAACCAGCTCAGTCAGGTTGACATCGCATTTCTGCAAGATTCATTTCATGTTGGAAGATGTGTTATGGAAAGGGAAGACGAAGAAGGAAATCATTACGAAGAACTTACAATATTTCGGAATATATATATACAGTGTGTCCAGGTTCGGTTAGGACTGTGTTCATTAAAAATACAAGACGTAAATTATTTTCAAAATTTTACTCTTTTTATTCAAAATAGTCTCCTTCTGAATCAATACATAGCTGGAATCGATTGAAAAGTTTTCGAAAACAGTCACTGTACTCCTTTTGTGGAAACGCATTTAAATCTGCGGTAGATTCCCTTTGGATGTCCTGGATGGTGTCGTGACGGTCTCCTTTCATCGCCAGCTTAACTTTTGGGAGCAACCAGAAATCTGCTGGAGCCAAATCTGGCGAATACGGAGGATGATCAAGGACTGTGATCCCTTTTCTGGCCAAAAAATCGCCCACAGTCTTCGATTTGTGGGGTGGGGCATTGTCGTGGAGGAGTGATCAGGAACCTTGCTCTCGATATTCAGGTCGAATTCGAAGAATTCTTGCCCACAAACAATTGAGGACTCCGAGACAATAATCAGAATTCACTGTTTGACCTTCTGGCAGAAATTCTTTGTGAATGATTCTCTTAGAATCGAATCGAAAAAACGGATAGCAGTGTCAGCTCAACTCTTTTGCATGCGCTCAGCCACGGTACACTCTGCCGCTTTGTGAGAGGCTCATATTCAAAACACCATGTCTCATCACCAGTAAAAATCGATTTTGTAAATTATATATCACTTTGGGCTGACCGTAACATGTCTTTGCAGTGTTCCACTCTGGCATGTTTTTCATCGCCTGGCAGCGCGTGTGGTACAAACCGCTCACAGACTTTCCGTTTGCCCAAATCCTCGGTAAAAATTTGATGCACAGTACTTTTTGGTATTCCCAAAAGCTCCTCGATGAGTCTTTCAGAAACACGTCTGTCTGATGCACGGATTTCGGTCCGGTCACTTTCTTCACATTTTCTTCAGTGCGACTTGTTCTCGGCTTTAATGGACGTGGAGCGTCTTCAATGTCCTCCCTGCCGTCACGAAATACAGCATACCATCGAAAAATGTTCCAGCGACTCAGTCAATCACTACCGTACACATTTTTCATTATTTCGTACGCTTCTCCGACTGTTTCGCCTAACTTCAAACAAAACTTGATGTTGGCTCTCTGTTCAACCACCATTTTCCGACGAGCGTCAGAACAGTACTGTTACATTCAAGGTCAGAACACATGATGCAGCGATGTTTGCGCTTTCAAATTTTAGACAGCCACAGCTGAAACTTCAAGAATCTTAACGCCAAAACTCACCAACAGATGGCCTTGCAGGCCAAATTAAAAAAAAAAAAATGAGTCCTAACCGATCCTGGACACACCGTGTATATATATGTGTGTGTATTAAATGAAAGAAGGACATTTTGAGCTATCTTAAATTATTTTAAAATCGATCTTCTTCCAGAGTTTATTTGTGGAGACGAAAGGAAATCGGGAATTATTCAGTTAGTAAAAACGAGTCAGAGTTTCGATCTAGAGACCTTCCAAATGGTAGTCCCTCTTTCTAGTTTCTTGTGGTTCGGTGAGACCGAGTCCACTTGGTACGTCAGCTACTAATTGGCTTACTGTACCAGCCCCGGATGATGATGATGATGATGATGATGATGACGAGTGTGGAGCAGTCGGTAGAATGAGAATTGTCTGGGGAAACCAGAGTACTCAGAGAAAACCTGCCCAATTGCATCTTTGTCCACCACAAATACCACGTGAGCTAACCTGGGTTCGAATCCGGTCCGCCGCAGTGGAAAACCGGCGACTAACCTTCTGATCTATGGCACGGCCTTCCAAATGTTAATTAGACGCATTGCAAGGAGCCCACTCAGACGATCAGCGCGGCGAGAGTGGGGATGTGGATAGTGATTAGCAGCACCTCGCCTTCTGAATCTTACATCTAAATAATTGAAATATAACTTCAGCATACAATTTGGTTAAACAGTGTCTATCTTGAAGTACTATAAAGAACTAGCCAATTACCATTTAATTATATAACCTAAATCAGGTTTCCAGACTATCAGAGTTCAGCGTCCTGTTAATGTTGTTCCGTGTTGAATATCTATCAAGGCTCGGAGATTCTATCCGTTGTGGTTGTATTTCATCAATTTATAATAGTAATGTTGAATTATATGTTTACACTTAGGCGTCTAGGATTTCTGGTGATAATGTTTCCTGCGTTCATTCATTATTTGAATAAACAGAATATTATTTCATTTATTCCTCAAAAAATTAATAATATTAAGAGGAATACGGGAAACAGGTAAAGGAAATTAGAACTCCAGAATAAAATTTCTGAATTTTCCATAGCACTGGAATGATTATGGTGTTTATAGGACCGAAAAAAATGTGTAGTCGAAAGACGTGGATCAGTCTGTAGCATTCCTTATATCTGTACTGACTGCACATGGCTCTGGACAGTGGCTGTCCTGACTGATGCTTTTCGTGACTTTCCTCATCAATTCTCCTGACCCTTCTTCTCATACACATGGGAATTTTGTATTCACAATCATCAGGCCATGTGGCCTTATACCAGCTGGCAGCATCAGAAAGTTTTTTTGTAATCTCCTTTTTATTTCTATAGCACCGTCTTCTCCAGCACTTCTCACAGAACTGTTAATTAAATTAGCATGTAATTTGTTATTTGTAACATACTTATATGTTAATTATACGAAGTGAACTGCTTAATTGGGAAAGAAGTACGTTCGTTTACAAGTTTCCGAATCATTTTCACTCTAGATGTCTTTTTCTTCTGCGTATTTTCAAGGAATATCCCCACATGCATTCGGCAGGAGCTGTCATCGTGTGTCAAAACCAAATAAGCTACTTTTCATGTAAATCAGAAATATGAATGCATTACTAATTTACTGTATGTGATTACGATGCCTGGTTTTCTAGATGTAAAAGTAAAAGTAAAAGTAAAGCTAGCCCTGTAAAAGGCTGTGAAGGCCCATAGGGTTGTGAGACGTTGAGGGTCCCACATTATCTAGACAATTGGCTCAAAGATGGCGGTGAGGTCAGCCTTACGTGCCTGCCGTGCTTTACTCCCCAGGAAAATTATTTAATTATTTCCTGGTACTCATTTCTGTTAGAGGCTGAGTCAACCCCAGGGCCATAGTGCGGCTGGAAGGATTAAGTCAATTTAAAAAAATCCAGTGAACTCATCGGGACCCGCGACCTTCTGGCTTGTAGCATAGCCCCCTCAACCAACTACGCTACTGCGTGCCCCCGGCTTTCTAGATGTACAGATATGACAAGCATAATAAAATATAAGCTTCTCACAGATCCAATAAGAGTTTTGGATTCTCAAGACTCCAGTCTTGAAACTAGCGAGGAACGCAGGTTAATCGAAGCATCAAAGACGAAGCAGACTGCCTGGGTCAGCCACTCCTATCTGAGCAAAAAAAACATTCACTACTCTATAGTGGCTGTGCAAGCACAACAGTACACTACTCACCAATATACTCTGAGAGTACTATACTAAAATACAACGTAGTGGACTATTTCCAGCAATTCTCATAACTGCTATGAAGCAAGCATCTGCTGCTTGAATGGCACATTCGAACTGTGTGCACTGCTTAAGTTGCTAAACCACACTAGTTGACCTTTGGATAAATGAATTAAATGATTGCAAAGCAAAATTGTTTATTCTGAGTCACCGCATTACAGAGGTGCATTCAAAAATTGAAAAGGAAGAGAAGAAGAAGAAAAAATGGAGTCAAGCACGCACATTTACTGCTGGAATGGATACTCAGGGTGGTTCTTGATCCTGAAACAAATATGTTTCCTTAATTTGAGAGAATAAATGTTGCTATACAAGTATAAAAAATTGTACTTTTCTTGAAAAATAGAACCGTCATAATAAAATTTAAGTACAGTAAGACACCAATTATTTAAATATCGGTCATCAAAACAATTCTGACAGTCATATCTCTTGTATGAGTGACTATAGAAGGGGTTTGGTTTGGTGACTGGATTTATTGAACACTTACAGATTGTAACTGCAACAAATTATAATGCTATTGCTATCTCCTCACTTTACAAATGACTGCAGCACATGCTAAGCCTTCTCAGTCTGCTTTCACTAGTCACTTCCCAGTAACAGATCTTAAAATTGGAGATTCTTCAGCTTTTGTGCTCATGTCATTACTGCCCAGCGAATATCTCGCAACTGCACTGCTGCTACCCAAGCTGGCGGCCATCTCACACCAACCTCCTAATCTTCTCTTCACAGACTCCCTTAACAACTGACTGCAGCTTGGCTGGTGTCCTCAATATATATAACCCCTTGTCATGGACCGCATAGAAAACACTGATTCCACCAGTTACTCTACTGTTGAGCATGGACTTGTTGTCATGGGAATCTGTTTGTTTTGCAGTTGCCACATGCTACAGTCATATTACCTTCAGTGTCTAAATAAGAAATTGGCTATCAGTTCCACTAATCAAAAACATTTTCTTCATCAAAATTAGAAATATCAAACTAAGCGGCATATCAAAGTGGGGAAATTAATTTTATCAAATACAGTTGAATTTTATGCCTCTATGCTTATCATTATGATGCAAAATTTTCACTCACAACCATTTCATTTAACTTTGTATTCTAATATTAGAATTATTTTAAACTTAATAACATATTTTGGTTTATATTTGAAACCCACCTCAAAGAAAATAACACTATAAAACTTCCATGTTTATGTTTAGATATCTAGATGGAATTGAATGCCATTGTAGCTACACATTAGTCATAACTTAGTCATAAGTCACCACTTACACTTTCATGTAACATACCTGACACAAAATTATGATAAATTATTTCTACTGTAGGAAGTATTCTTATTTAATTTTATGTTTTATGTCAGGTATTTTTTCCTTTGCTTTTCAGGCTTTTCTGATTATATCATAGCAAGTAGATATCATGCATTCTTATGTACTGGATTCAGTGATAAAATATAATTTGAAAGATATATATAAAAAGGGCAGATCTTACTTCGAATTTATAACAAGGTAGTAAATTATCCTGTAGTGAGTTACCCTTTGAAAAATCCAAAGTCAAGTATCCTTCCAGCTGATCCCTGATCAAGTTTGTCCAATGATGCCATATCCTCACTGCTTAGCTCAAAATCATGTACCTGCAGAAATCACATCGACAAGTAAACATACAAAATAAAAGCAGATATCACCACATAAAACTGCTAAGTTTTTTTTTATTGCTAGTGGGGTGGGACTAAGTCCCTTGTACTGCGGCCACTTCTGGCCTATTGTACCAGCCCCAGATGACAGGTGAGGGTGATTGTGGAGCAATTGGTGGAATGAAGAGTGGCAGGGGAAACTGAAGTACTCGGAGAAAAACTGTCCCAGCACCACTTTGTCCACCACAAATCCCACTTGACCAGACCCATGATCGAAACCTGCTAAGTTAGTTTATATTGTGTGTTAAAGACTGTATATTCTGGAAGTAAGAAACTTATATATTTAAGTTCTAGCATAATGGTATTTTGGAAGAAATTTTCAACATCTTGGGGTATTCTTACGATGATATCATCACAATGAGAAACTTATTCACGAATGTGCAATTTTCAAGTGCATACATTTTCTTCCAATAAGGCATAAGATAAAATAAATGAATGGTTATTTATTGGTTCATTGTTTGGTTGATTAGGTGAATGAATTGATTTTCTAGCTTTATAACCATCACTTTACTCCATGGTATTTCAAGTTCATTATTTACTAATCATCCTATCATTTAAAACTCCATAGTCTGAGAGAGTGACAGATTGCTTAAACAGAAGGTAAAACGCAAAGTTGACTTTTGCTTAATTAAACACCACATCTTGAAGGTGTGTAGGGGTAGAGGTATAACTCCACTTGCCACAAAATTGAAATGGGTGGTCAGCTTTGTGCCCCTGCAAGCTTTGTCACTTGGAAAGTGATCCTTGTTCCCATTGAATAGGAGACTGTCATACCCTACAGCCAATCTAGTCACTATGGAGATGGTAAAAGAATCCTTGTTTGGCTGGGGTTTGGTTCCCCGATTGATGAAACCAAAACCTAGTTGCCATACTGACTTAGTTCTGTGCTGTTATTTAAACCATGAATAAATTAATACGCTAATAAATACAGTGCTCAAGTGTGTGAAAAATAGTGACAGAAGTGGATGTGTCCTCATTATATATTTTTACTATTTAATGAAGTCATTGACACAAATTGTACAAACTAAAATGGTATGGTGAATAGTAAATAATGAACTATAAATACTGTGGCCTAATTTGAGGTAATATCCTGGCATTTGCCTGGAATTCTTAACGAAATCCAGGATAATTGGTGTCCCAGCTGACATTCAAACTGAGATGAAATATTACTGCTTGAGACAGCTGTGTCAATGTGTACAGCCAAAAAACTATAAGTCATAAGATACAGTTTAATAAACATCCATAAACTGATAGTTTGAAATGTTGTATCTCACTTGCAAATTCTGACGAATCCGCTCTGAATTAGTACTTTTAGGGATGGCAGCCATGCCGCGTTGCACAATGTGACGAAGCAAGATTTGGGCAGGTGTCTTTGCATGTTGCTTTGCTATCTCCAGTACTGTGGAATTATTCATCAGGTCCGGAAAATCTTTGCTGAAATCATTAATCCGTTATATTTATAATAATTGACACCATATACAGTGTGTTTCACGACTTTAGGGCATAACTGCAGGAGGTGATTTCCTAGGTCTTTGTGATCAAAAAAGTTCACATAAACATGTGTCCGATTTTGGACGGTTACGGAGTTATGACCGTTTTAAACTCAGAATAGAAGGTAACGATTACTGACAATAAATGGAACAAAATAATAAACCAGCATAATACATGATACATTTAAAGTATGACTGTAAAGTTAACTTCGTGAAATTACCTTTAATTTGAATTATATTAGTGCTTAAAGCTGATTTTCGAAAATGCCACCGGTGGCTGCAACACAGGCTGCCGCTCGGTTGTGAACCGCGCCGGACATACCAACTCACCCCGCTCCCAAGTGTCGAGATAACGAGAACGCCCTGTCTGTAGCTGGCTAAAGATAGCCAGCTACAGATCCGCTAAAAATAGCGACCTGCCAGCTGACAGACGCGGTTCATATGAGGGCATGTACAGGAATGAAACAACGGTCATAACTCCGTAACCGTCCAAAATCGGACACATGTTTATATGAACTTTTTTGATCACAAACGCTTAGGAAATCACCTCCTGCAGTTATGCCCTAAAGTCGTGAAACTCCCTGTATAACAGGCACACTAATTCTAGGCCAGACAATACAAAATAAAAGTGACAAATTTTTAAAGGTGAATCTGAAGGAAAGATTCCTCATATGTATTATAGATTAAAAGTAAAGTTCAGATATCCTTTTTGCACAACATTCTAAAAGTGCTCACTTATCAGGTAGGTCAAGCCAGTCAATTTGCAAATTTTATCTTTGAAACTATCGAAAATTTTTTAACTAAATTTGGAATTAGAGATTTACACTGAAGGTTGTCAAGCAAGTTTAATTCTTGTTTCATCCTATTCATGCTGATCTAACATAACTGCAACTTTACATGCTCCAAACTGAACTCTAAGAATTTTGTGAAAACATCTCATCACCAAATAATGCTTCAATAAAAACTATAGATTTCGCAAAATTCTACAAATTGTATTTCTGACATTATCTGATATGATGAATACTTAACGAAATACAACAGAAACAAATTTTTGAGTCTGTGGAGTATCTACAATAAGAAATGGCTTTGCAACAGTATTTTGTGATGGCAATACATGAAGTTTAAACCCAATTAGAAATGAAGAATAGCAAAGAACACATTTCAGAAACATGTTTAATTAATCTACTGGAATACAGGTATACATTTTTTACAAGTTTGAAGAAGTAAGAGACATTATGGCAAACTAATCTGCATTTTAAGACCACTGTCTGCTGGATATAATGCTCTGTAATTTGCTAGAATTTTACTGAAATTTCAAAGGAACATAACTGCTTCCATTGCTGAGTCAATGATTAACCCAAGCAATGAAGCACCAAACAGAAGGATTTCATCCAGTCAATTGGATGATTTATGTGACTTGTCATTAACTGGCTTCTTTAGAATATAGCATTTATTAAGTGTGTGATTGATGTATTTCTTACAGAATTCTGTAGTCCATACAGCATGAGGCATGAATGAACTAGTATATACTTCAGATGTCTGAAGACAGGAAAATAGAATCTTTAAAAGGAAACTGCAACCATTACCTTGCCAGTTTGTGTTTGGGCCTTGAATCTATTTTTATTTGAGTCTGAAAATGTGTCCACTGGATGCTGCATTTCTCTTGTTGGGGATCTTGCTGGTGACACCGAATTTTGTCATTGGCCACCTGGGAGGTTGGTTTCTACTTAAATTTTGTTTCAGGGTATTACTCTCAGGCAGGATTCTATTATGCCGCCTCTGTATCATTCTTATACACTTCTTTTAACATTTAGAATTACATGACATTTAAAGATAAACCATAGCATTACTTACAGCAGAGGATGTATCAGATGCTTTCTACTGCTTTTCCATAATTCTGAGAATTATAGTTCTTTGTAAGAGTGTTAGAGACTGGAACATGTCTTTTATATTCGCATACAATGTTATTATTTTGATAGAAAAAAAATATTGTTCTGTGTCTATATGGACAGCTTCTTCTTCATCAAACTTGAGCTTCCACCCCGTCATTACAGTACTTTGTTAATGAAGCATTTAGAGGGCAAGATGTGATCTACTGGATATAACTTTTTTTCCACACAATAATGTAGTGATTTTTTTCACAGACATAATACAAATCCTGTCATAATAGGACAAATCTAATAACATATAAGACTTGAAAGGAAAAATAAGTTTGGGAAATTTTCACAAGCTAGGGTCTCGTATAATAAGCTTCTACTCATAAATACATCCAACTAACTAGAATAATCTAGAAGTTTCCATGGATTTAATCATAGAAACTTAGGAGTCTGCATCCTTTTCTTCAGGTATAATTATTTTCAAAATAATTATATTATCACATATGAACATGCCAGATATATGAATTTTAAGAATCTGTAACCAAAAGTGTTAATGCATATCTTCAGGATTTTAGTAGAACTAACTGTACTTAAGATTTGCTTTTTGCATGTACAAATGACAACACTGAATTCTATGTGTAACGAGATTGTTACATGTAGTTCACATTTCTGTCAGTATGCAATATGAAGAATATTACAGTTAGTTCACACCTTATTCCAACTGCCTTATATAGTTGTGCTGTGCCACGAGACCCAAGTGGTGAATATGCACAGACTATAATATCGTGTTCTTTGCAGAAGTCAACCAATTCTCGCTGCTGGCAAAGGACATGCAATTCTACTTGTAAGTTTGCAGGAGGAATGTGAGCAGACTGCAATACTCTCTTTATTTGTGAGATATTGAAATTAGAGAGCCCAATAGCCTTTGTGCGCCCAGCATCTACCTGCACTTCCATTGCCTGGAACATTCCATAGGTAAAATAGCAGTGGACAAGCAACACAGAAGGAAACTGCTCTTAGCTAAAGCTACAATATTCTTTGAACAAATATTTAGATACAAAAATCATTGGCATCTATTAGATATGGTTGTACATCTTATTAACTTTTTGAAGACTGATGTTCATTTAAATAATGTATACAAATGCAGTTTCCATCTTACAGAAAACACATTGCACCTTCATTAAAAATTCTAATCAGTTATTTCTTCTTAGATAGATAACTGCTGGTTATTCTGAGAACTATATGTAACATGTAAGGCTACTCTTGGGTAAAATGCTGAGTCAGTTTATGTTAAACCCATGGTGTACATAGTTGTCACTGTGCTTTAAAGAGTTAAACAAAGGTTAAAATTTATTATTTCAGTAGAGAGTGGAAACGATTCCCATAAAAGTGACATTTCCATGACAATGGATCTGTTAGCTAAACTGAATTGCTTCTGTTCTGGTTGCAGAAACAGCAGACGCAACACCATTATTTTATGTACATGATCAAAATTCTCTGCTATTTACATGTCTAGCAGAATACCTGTTTACATGACAGGAAGTATTTTCTTCACCTCTGAATTTTGAAGATGTTGTACCAGCATATGTAGAATTATAGTAAATTTGTTTCTGATAATATTATTAAATTATTTGTCTTTTTTCGTATCTCTGCATATATTTAATTTCTTATGCCAAATAATAATTTTATAACAATGATGTTAATGTAATAAATAGAATATTATACAGAGTGTTTCACGGCTTTAGGGCATAACTGCAGGAGGTGATTTCCTAGGTCTTTGTGATCAAAGAAGTTCATATAAACATGTGTCCGATTTTGGACAGTTACGGAGTTAGACCGTTTTTTCATTCCCATACAAGCCCTCGTGTGAACCACGTCTGTCAGCTGGCAGGTCGCTATTTTTAGCCAGCTACAGACAGAGCGTTCTCATTATCTCGAAACTTGAGAGCTACCTTAGGAGGGGTATGTCCGGCGCAGTTCACAACTGAGCGGCAGCCTGTGTTGTGGCCGGCGGTGGCATTTTCGAAAATCAGCTTTAAGCATCAATAAATTCAAATTAAAGGTAATTTCACGAAGTTAACTTTACATTCATAGTTTAAATGTATCATGTATTATGCTTGTTTATTATTTTGTTCCGTTTATTGTCAGTAATCGTTACCTTCTATTCTGAGTTTTAAAACGGTCATAACTCCGTAACCGTCCAAAATTGGATACATATTTATATGAACTTTTTTGATCACAAAGACCTAGGAAATCACCTCCTGCAGTTATGCCCTAAAGTCGTGAAACGCCCTGTATTTAAGCATCCTGTTGCACTATACATTTCTATATGTAATAATACAAATGTCATGAATGCAAAACTTTAAATTTTGAATTTTAAATTAAAAAAAAATTAAATTTTGAACTGGAATTCTAAAATCAAATTGACGAGTGTATGTTTGGCGAGATTTTAAACAAAACTGACAGGCTTGTGTTTTAGATTTTGGATTGTATGCAGTGTGACAGCTACATAGTGAAAAATACACCTGATGGTGGCCAGTTATGGCCGAAACATGTAGTGTAGAGGTACAAAAGACAAAGAACTACAACCAAATAAATTGTTGCATTCACAGCAGCATTTGTATTATTACATATAATAAATAGGAGTCTGATATGAGCTAAGATTTTATACTTCATGGTATAAACTAGAACAGAATGAATATTTGTGCAAGCAAATATCATGGAAGAAGGTCAATAAGTTTCCTGCTGTGAGGATGGGCGATTGACAACAAAATTATTAACAAACAGTCATGAGGTGTTACATTATTCTATTGTAAAATACTGTACCTTCCAAATATCTACATGATTTGTGGATTTATCCAAGAGAATGTTTCCATCAGCGTCCAGTGGGTGGATTTCTTCATCTTTTTCCAGAAAACCAAATGGTACATGCACCAAATATATATCTACATAATCCAAGCCAAGTTTGTCTAATGAACGCTTCAAGTATTTTTCAACTCTGTCAGGATGGTTTCCAGTAGGAGGTAGCTGAAACATATTCAGAATTTATAATTTATGAGTCTCTGTACAAATGGAAGTGTGGGAAGTAGTTCAGTATTGCCAGGCAATGGCTCCATAAGCACGTTCAAACATGCAACAATGGGAGCTGTGTTCTCAGTTAACGAATTTTACAGGTCGTTGCTAGGCAGCAGTTAGTGCGCCAGTGAACTGACTGGATGGTGATCATGTGGCAACCCAAACAGAAGTGTCACACAACAATAGAGTATTCTGTATTTTCTATGGTCTTTGCCATGTAACAGTATGAGTGCTGTGTCTTCTGCATTGTCCATGCTGCGTCTATATAAGGGGAGTATGTCTGCAGTTGAGATCATTACTAATACAGGCTATGACTGACAAGTGACAGACCCAACCTCTCATCAGAGAGGGCGCCCCAAATGGACAAGACAGTAACTTTCATATAAGAAGGAACATCTGGTCATGAGCCCCAGCTGGGATGCGACACCAAGACAGACAGACTGACTGACTGTCAGTCACAATGTGACTTTGACTTTGGCTGAGATTAGATTAGTTGAGTACAGATTATTACCAGATCAAGACTGGAGAGGCTGGCAATTGAATTGGGGAAATGGTTCGAGTTCTGGAGAATCGGCAGTCTAAGCTGATTGAACAAGAAATAGCAAGGAGATGTCATAGTGATTTGGAGTGAAATTTTCTGTGTTGAGATCCATTGCCAGGAGACAACTAGTAGAAAGTGAGAATCTGAGTGTGTATGTAACGGTGAACTGGAAAGTGCATAAATCAGCGATAGCCCTGTATTGATTGTAATTAAGAGCGATTGTAGCCGAAGTACCAATAAAGAAAATCATTTGATCTACAATCCATTATTCATCACATATACCACCCTACATGTGACAGTTTTATAACTTATTTCCAGATATTGTTAAAATCTTGTTTGTGTATCTGTTATTGAAATTTAAATTGCATGATTTGGCCTTAAAGAACAATGGCCTTTATCTGAGGTACATGAACAGCTAATTTTAACATGCACTACTCAGTCTTTGATAATGTTAGACTGTTGACTGGCATCTAAATAATTAGAGTATAAAACTACACATATATACATAGGTGTGTTTATATAATTTGTAATTTCAGCCTCCTCTACTTTTATAGTGTTCATCCCCTGCAATATATGGAGCCCTGTCTTCTTGTATTCTCAATACCACCATGATATGGTGCATAGATAGAGGGAAAATTTTACCAGCTGTTAGTAGCCCGCTGTTACAGTTATCTGCTTCTTACCTTTGTAACTATGAATAGATCTTCCCGCTGAACCTTGCCTGAGTTGAGCCATTTTGCCAGTACTCTGCCAATAGCTGCCTCGTTCTCATACACATATGCTGTATCAATGTGCCTGTAGCCTGCTTCCAAAGCTGCATCCAGAGCAGCTTCCAGCTCTGAATCTGAGGCCTATAATATTCAGGATAACAGAGGTACAGTTATTATGTTATATTTTGGCTTGCCTCATGTCACCATGTAAAAGGAAAATGTTTAATGTTTAAATCAAATTTTACACTTTTGTGACTTACATTCATAGTCTTGGAAAATATGGAACAGATTTAAATCATATTTACAATATATCCATGTGGCATAAAATATCAATATAAAAATGATTTGACTTTAACTTTACTAATTGCTTGCATTGTTATGAAATAATTAATATCACTGAAGTGGCTCTTAATTAAGATATTATTTTATTATCCTTTTGTAAAGTAATCTTAAATGTAAGTTAAATATGTATTTTAGAAAAGCAAAACAGAGACATTGTGCAGGTTAGGTTTTGTCTGAGAGTTCTAAACGTTCATGAAAATGGCTTTTATTTGCCATGTGAGTGTTTCTTTTGGCACTATCTACAGTCTGGATGAAAGTTGCATACAATGTACCTCCATTTGCAAGTTAAGTTATGAAAAGATACATCCTATTCTATAGTATTTGAGAGATGAATAAAATAGCTTGAATTCTTTATGTTCTCAACTAGTCTGCCTTTCTTCCTCCTCCAACAATATCCCTTCTACCTCTTCCCTCCTGTAAGAAATGTCTGATATACATTTTTATCATTTTTCCTTTTACATTTCTGTTTGCTGTGTCATGTCCAGTGATTCTTCTCTAGGTTCTCCCAGTCTAAATTGTGCCAGCCATCTTTTAGGCGACCATTTCCTATTGACTCGCTCACAGCCTCGTTTCTCTCCACTCTTTTCCTATAACTTGCACCGGTTTTCCCTTTCCCATGAAATGACAGACCCGACTTCTCGTCAGAGAGGGCGCCCCAAATGGACAGGACAGCAACTTGCACAAAGAAGAAAACATCTGGTCATGAGCCCCAGCTGGGGCTCGACACCAACAAAGACAGACTGACTGACCGTCAGTTGCAACATAACTTTGACTTTGACTTTCCCATGAACGCCCTATTCGAAAGTGAGCGATTGAGCATTAACATTAAACTAACCCTCCATAAAGCTCTTATTAGATCCGTAATGACTTATGCTAGTCCCGCCTGGGAGTTTGCAGCAGACACCCATCTAGTGAAATTCCAGCGCCTGCAAAACAAGGTTTTCCGCAACATTGGCAATTTTCCAAGGTGAACACCGGTCCGCGATTTGCACATGGCATTCAAAATCCCTTACGTATATGATTATATAACAAAATTATGCAGGCAACAAGCGGAAGTCATGCAAAATCATGTCAATGAGAATGTTCGCAACATCGGACAAGGCGAAGCCTGACACAGAAAGTATAAGAGGCTTAAACTTGGCGACAGTCAGGCATACGACCGTTCAAGTGCCTAGACCGCTGTGGTAGCGAATACTACTAGAAATAAGACATAATCTGCTGTACTGAGCCTGGACTGACAGAGGCCATGTATATAGTGTACATACTGACAATAGACTTAATATTACCGACTACGACCGACAAATGACAGACCCGACCTCTCGACACCAAGACAGACAGACTGACTGACCGTCAGTTGCAACATAACTTTGACTTTGAATTTCCCATGAACGACAGGCTGTTGACAGTGGCATTGCAGGAGTATTGTGAAAAATACCGCACATATTCAGAAACGCCGAATATGTTGACATGCTCTACGTTTACGGCTTCTGCCATGGAAGTGTCACTGCTGCTGTTGTAGAATACCGTTGACGGCTTCCTATGTACAGAATTCCAAATCGTAGAATGTTTTCCAAGGTGTTCAGTACATTGTGTGAACTTGGTACGCTTCCCAGTGTTCATGTTTCATCTGAACTAGCACGTCAACAACATGTTGAGGAACAGGAGAACATCTTGAAATGGTACAGCTTAGCCCTACTATCAGCACGCGAAGACTTTCTGCACGTCTCAGTGTTTCACGGACACGTGTATGGCGCACATTGCATGATGACGGCTTGTACCCATTTCACCCACAGCGTGTGCAAAATCTGCACCAGGGGACAATGCCGTGCGGCTAGAATTTTGTCATTGGTTACATACTATTCGCTAATTGCTTCCGTTAATACTCTTCACTGATGAAGCTACTTCACTAATTTGACTGAAACATGCTGAGATTTTAAGAAATAAAAAATTCTGGTTATAAATAATACTCTATTTGTGTATGCTGTTCAGAGGGGTAATAAGACACAATTGAACTAAATTCCTTCTGAACACTGTCCAATGTGCAATATCAGTCACTTGTTAAAAAAAGATATATAAAATTTGTACACGTCCTTTATCTTAAGTGAAAAGTTCTGTTACAGGCCGTCTTTCGAATGACCTCCACAACTGCATCTGTAAGCAGACAGGAACTACGAAGTATTATATTAAGAAACAATCAAGGTCTGCTCCACGCCATAACGGCTCACTCGCTTTCACTGAGCAGCATGTTCCATATTACGATCAGTCCAGTACCGTGATATTGCTTCTTTAGAGATACTCTTGCGGGTTATTAGTTTGCATCTAGTGTCGAAGTCGGGAATGGTGGAGCTATACCACCACTCCCCAATATGACTTCGTGGCATACTGCTTAATTAATTAAGCACAGAGACAACTTTGCCTTTTAGTACATTTATCTATCAGGATAGTTAGGTAAATCGATTAGTTAATCACTTTAATCAGAATAATATGTTTATAATTAACTAAGATAAGGGTTTGAAATCTTTTTGGACCGAAGAAGATGAAGTGACAGGAGGTTGAAGAAAACTGCATAATGAGGAGCTTCATAATTTGTACTCTTCTCTAAGTATAATTAGACTGATCAAGTCGAGTAGGATGAGGTGGGCAGGGCACGTAGGACAAATGGGGAGAAAAGGAATGCATATAGGATATTGGTGGGAAAGCCAGAAGGAAAGAGACCACTGGGAAGACCAAGGCGTAGGTGGGTGGACAATATTAAAATGGATCTTAGAGAGATAGGATGGGATGTTATGGATTGGATTGATCTGGCTAAGAATAGGGATCAGTGGAGGGCTCTTGTGAACACGGCAACCAACGTTCGGGTTCCATAAAATGCTGGGAAATTCTGGAGTAGCTGCAGAATTGGCGGCTCCTCAAGAAGGGCTCAGCTCCATGAGTAAGTAAGGGTTAGCAATTTACCGCCTGTTACCGAGTCGCTGGACTTATTAACCCCTGAGTTATACAGCGTTAAAAGAGATGTGATAATACGATAAAAAGAAGTGTGAAAATTATGGACCGTGGTTTATTTTAAGTACTACCCCAGCATTTACCTGGAAGAACTGAGGAAATTCACGAAACCTACCTTCCGAATGCGAGTCATAACATATTCTCTCTGAACTCCTCCTCTCCCCACTGGGGCCATTGGCTTCTAAATCAATAGCTCCCATTAGGTACATGTTCCAAAACGTCTGTAGGGGAGGTCATAATTTTGTACAATTGTAGTTTCGCAACTTTTTCTATCTTATCCCAAAGTGTTCCCTAAACGCTGACACATATTACCTGACACGTTTACATTTTTATCTTTTACATTTTCATATTTTCTTCACGTTTGTAATATAACTCAATCCACAAATACTTCAAATGTGTCACCTTACTTAAAATCTATGCATCTATGATAATCTTTAATATTTTCACGTGTCTGAGTGGCTATAGAGGGGGTTTGGAATGGCAATTGAATTTATTGACCACCTACAGATCGTAACTACAAGTAATTATAGCGCCATCGCTAGCATATGCTAAGTCTTCTCAGTCTGCTTTCATTAGTCGTTTCCTGGTAACGAATCTTAACAATGGTGATTCTTCAGTTTCTGTGCTCACTGGCTAATACAAATGACTAAGCTCTGAGTCTGAGTCTTATTACGATCGACCGTCAGTCAGCCAGTCTATCTTCGAATAAATCACCCATGTGGGGCTTACGACCAGATTTTTATTACTGCCAGACAGTTGCGGGTTTGTTGATGTGGGGCGCTCTCTCTGACGAGAGGACGGGTTTGTCGTTTCCAACTGTTGCTGGGCCGCGCTAGCGCAGTCATTTTCAGGTCCGAGTGCCGTGGGAGTCGTGACCACATTTTACTGTCTCAGATTCGAGATTTCCTTTTTCGTTGCCCCCTACGACTCGCAGGGCTACGGTGGAGGTATTCGACCCAGCCTCCACACGGGATTGACTAAGATCTAAACTTTCGATCCCGGATCTGGTCAAGTGGGATTTGTGGTGGACAAAGTGGAGCTGGGGAAGGTTTAGTCCGAGTACTTCGGTTTCCCTTGCCAATCTTCATTCCACCAATTGCTCCACAATCACCCTCGTCTATCATCTGGGGCTGGTACAATAGGCCAGAAGTGGCCTCAGTACAAGTGACTTAGTCCCACCCCACTAGAAAAAAAAATCTAAACTTTGTCCCGTTTGTAACCCCTCGGCACGGACGCATAGAAAGCATAGCTCTTCTATTTTTGCGGACATAACCTAGTAACGGCCGCTATTTACAGAGTCATCGCTTAGCAACGGGTCTGTACGCCAAATATTTTACCTGAAGAAGGTCAGGCGCGTTCCGTCTGTTATTGCCTCTAGACTTTCAGTTCATGTCTGCAAACTTTTGACGTTCTCTTACGAAGTGCGTATGAAGTCGAAACGGAAGATGAACAGCGGCAAAATCATCATAATGGATCTCGGGTTACGAGTTGATACAGCGTAAAAATCGGTTTTGTTTAATTAAGTCTTAAACCCTAAGACAAATGAATGAGTATGTTGAATATAAATTGTGTGTCTCATCATTCTTTATAGCTTTTGTTCGAAATATTTTTCTCTGGGATAAACTTTTAGCGAGTTACCTTCGAGAAACTCGCAGGAGCGTGTGTTTCCCGTGTTCGCTATTGTTGTAAGATTGTTAATTGAAGCTGGAAATTTAAATCTTCCCAGCATTCAATTTCATGAAAATCCATTCAGCGGCCTTGAGTTTTGCATACGGACGGATAGGCAGACATGGTGA